AGCCCTAAATCCCGAGAAGTGAAATTCGTCATTCCGATGCACGCCCAGTCAATTTCCCGCGCGTGCAACGAAGCGGGGAGTGGCAGGCGGGGGAGGGCGAGGGAGACGTGTGGGCGGAGGGCACGGCGCGCGCCGGCTGGGAGGCGTCTGGCGAGGGCGGTGGCCGGGGCGGGGGCAAAGGGCGGGGGCGGGGGCGCGGCGCCGACGCGCACGCTCGCCTGGCCCGGCCCGGCCCGGCCACCGCGGCAGCTGAGCTCGCAGCTGCGCCCCGGGGCTGGCTTGTTAGGCGTTCGGGCGGAGCTCACGCGCGGCGGCGGCGGGCGGCAGGTGCGCGGCGACGGTGGCGCGCGGCGGCCGGCGGCGGCCGTGCGGGGGCCGGTCGGCCGGCGGCGGCGGCGGGCGGCGTGCGGGCGGCGGTGTGGCGGCGGTGGCGGCGGCGGTGGCGGCGGCAGGTGGTGAGGCGGTGGTGGCGGGGGCGCTGGCGATGGCGAGTGAGGCGAGGACGGGCTGCGGTGGCGGGCGGAGGCGGAGGCGGCGTGGCGCGTTGGTGGAACGGCGGACGGAGGTAGGCGGGGGGCGGAGGCGGTGGCGGCGGTTCGGTGAGCGGCACCGCAGGTGGTCGTCGGTGGCCGCGAGGGCGGTGGCGGCGGCGGCGGCGGCGGCGCGGCGGCGGCGGCGGCGGCGGCCGGCGGCGGCGGGGCCGGGGGCGGGGGCGCGGGAGGGGCGGGGGCGGGGCGGGGGGGGGGCGAGGAGGGGCGGCCCAAAGCGCATCGTCAAGGCCGCCCAATTAAGGTGCAGGCGAACTGCTCGCGCCGGGCGACGGCCAGGGCCGGGCCGGAAGGGGGCCGTGGAATCGTAAGTTGCGGCAGAGATGAAGGCAGGATAGGTCCATAGCATCCGCTTCTTTTTGGTACGCGGGGCGTCCAGGATACATTTGTAAACGGGGAGACGGTTTGCGATTACCGAGCTAAGACCCATAACACCCCGGACTTCATTACAAAAAAAGTATGCGAACGTTCCAGTGGGCGTCTATTAGCAGATATGGCATGTAATAAATAGAACATGATGTTTGCACTGTTGCGTTTCAAGGTGACAATTCTTTAACACAATAATGATAAGAGTAAAAGTCCTATTCAGTGACCATTTGTGAAGGCTTTTAATTGGTAACTTCTTTTTCGAAAAAAAAATGTATTTTCTATCATTCTTGTTCAACTAATTCATTTCATTGTTTTCCAACGACATCACGGAACACAATTTCAAAACAAAGGGACCCACCGTCTGCACATTGCGGTAATTGGCCGCAGGCGATGAGTCATCGATCTAAAACGCTCGAAAGAGGAAACAAAGCGAATCTTTCGGCAGAGCAATCACGTGCCCGCGTGTCGCATTCGCAACGGCTCTTTCGTCGGCAGGTGCAACATCCTCAGCTGCGGCGGCGGTGGCACAGCCAGTGCGCAGGCTCCACGCGCCGACGCCGACGCCGACGCCAACACCGCCGTCGCGCCGCGCGTTTCGCAACGCCCGCGCCGCGTTGCCGCCCAGAGCCGACCGCGCCGCGCCGAGCTGTATTCGCCTGCAGCGCCAAGAAGTCGCGCCTTGGAGCACACTTCTACATGACGAGGAATATGTTGTCGCCCATGAGCTGGGCAACCCGTTGACCACGAAATAAAGACTATGTAGGGTATTACATTCCCCATACGGGAGAAACCAAGTAATGAGGATGATCAATAAAGAGGGAATGGGGTGAGAGTGAGTAGAAGTGAAAAGATCAAACGAATATTCTTGAAAGAGGTCCTTCGAAATAATTAGAACAAAAGGTGACGTGATAAAAATGGGTATGTTGTCATGAAGATCCTATCCTAAAATGATTTTTCTTTAATTCTTTTTTACCATTTTTACATTAATCAGTTCTTACACAATCATAGGAGGTTAGGATTCAAATAACCCTTTATTGTAATAATAAAAAATAATAATAATATTGAAAGACAGAAAATAATAGATTGTTTAACCAAGAAAATAGTATTTGAACTGTAGGTAAAAATATAATTGTGAAGTATAATAAGTATTTCTATCATAATTCACTTATTTTGCTTTACATCTTCTTTTATTTGAGAAAAGTACTCCGTGGAAGTATAAAACAATAATAAAAAGAAAAAGAAGATACGTTTCATCCCGACAAAGAGAAGAAATTCGCATAAATGATGAGCACAAGGGCAGGGATGAATAGAGTTTTCAAGAGAGAGAGAGAGAGAAGACGAGGGAGGGGGAGACTCCAGCAGAGAAATCTGAAGTCCCGAGGCGAGAGCTATAATTCCGAAACCCGCGCGAGGAACCCACTGACCAAGAGAACACGCCCGAACGGGTTTCTGGCGCGAGGCGGAAGCCACGACAACCGCTACAAGCTCTACCTCCAACCATCCGCCCCCCGCCCCCCAACGGCCCCACGCAACCACTCCTATTACCATCCAAGACAAACGCTAAATACGTGCAGCTCCGCTCCATGGAAGCCTACGCGACCCCGGCCCAAGCGGGAAGGCCTCTTCTGCCGCTCAGCGCCGCGCCGCGCCGCGCCGCGCCGCGCCGGAGCGGTTTCTTGTCGCCGGGATGTTTACGAGCTGCCGCGAAAACAAGACGAGCGCGGACCAGTTCGAAGGCGTGGAAACGCGCGCGCAAGGCGCAGGCAGTGGAAGCGGCCGCAGCCACGAAAAGGCATTCTGGTCAGGACGAGTGACCGAAAGGGTCAACACGATTCAGACTAGGAACATCCAAGCACTGAACGTATCATAACCAAGAACCTCACTGCAAGTTAACAGGAAGAGTTACTGCCACAATTGATTTAATTAAATTATCATAGGTAATACCCCGAGTATTTTGGAAATTGACGATAAATATCAGACTCGCGAAGTTAGGAGGGGATTTATCTGAGAATTTCCAAAGCACGTGGTATTTAATAGGACAATTCCAAGAGCGATATTATGACCAGCAGAGTTCCAAAATGCGCCAAATATTGAAAATGACTGAAAGCTATATTCAAATAAAAGAGGTTATGTTATAGAACATATGCGGTTTATTGGACATCGACATAGCGATCGATGTGTACCGGCTCCTAAGATAGATGAGTCACAGTTTGGCCAGTAGGGAGAAGCGGTAAGAAAAATCGGATAGAAAAAAAACTACAAACTTTTTGAGATACACCGCATTTATTGGAGTATTTTGTATGTTTAGTTAAAAACTATTAGTTTTAAATTTCACTAGTGGATACTGTAATTAAAAAAAACATATGTGAAAGGTTGGACACTGAGATATGCACGCTCTAGTGTAGACGAGTTTACACAAAACTCAGCGTAGACGAGTTCACACAAAGTGTGAAGAGCACACTCCTAGCACACACGAGAATCATGATGGCAACAGCAGCAGCAAAAAGGCAAGGAAACTCGCAGAGGCGGTTGGAAAGGCGATGGTATCTGCGGAGGGGGCGGCGCTGGGCAGAACTTGTGCGCGCGCGTCACGTCCCGAAGAGAGCGAAAAACAAAACGGAGAATTCTTTCGCTTGTCTTTTTGCTTATGAAGGACACAGGGAGAGTCTCCCGCGGAAACCCGATAAAGGTAATTATATTTATTCGCAGATTAATTTGAGATAAACGCTAATTAAGGGACGCGGGGTCGAACGCGGCCTTGCGGTGCGAGGAAGTGCGGCGACGAGAAGCAGCAGGGCGGGGGCGGGTGACGCGCGGTGGGCGGTGGGCGCTGGCAAAGGATGGAGAGATGCCGTGTTTTGTGGCTTCTCGGTGGCGGCGCATTGCATTGTATGCAGACGAGCCTCTAGAGCAGTAGGCGGGATAGCTTTGTTAAGGTTACGTTAAGGTAAGATCAAGACGTAGTTATCGAATGTTTAAGACTACTCGAGTGTTTAATGGACTAAATGTAATACTACCTCAAGTAATGATCTATTGATATTAATTATACGAATATCTGAGTTTACAAATTGGATAATTTGTTGCAATATAATTGGCTAGATGCTACTTGGAAAACAACACAGTTGTACCTACTACAGATCAGTCTTCAAAAACTAACATTTCATCACATCTTTAAATTAATGATAACAATTTCAAAATAACTATTAGTAATAATCGTATTATTGAAATAAAATATAGTCATGTTATTGCCATTATTAATATTAATTACAGTCATATAACACTTGAAATAAGTAGGACTTTGTCAATATCGACAGTTAAAAAGATATTTCTCCAATGCTTGTATTCTTTGTAATCTCGGAGGAAGGCGTGAAATCAAGAAAGCCGGCAAGCATCTCTTCACGACGCGCTTATCGTCGCTACGCGGAATGAGAGTACCGAGAGGCTGTGACGGGAATTTACGAGGCGTCTTGGGCTGTCAGCGCGGGCGGATCGCCCACTCGCCCACTCGCCCGCACGCGGGCGGAGCTCGCAGAAGCGCTTCTCGAGCCGCATCGACAGGCGCTGGAGGCGAGAGCACGCCTGGGCCCTACGACCAGCCACGTTTTGGCCATGTGCTCGTCCCCTGACAGCCGATACCAGATCAGTTTGCACCCGTTCATCTGAATTCTGTAGTTTCCGGTTCTTCAATCAGTATTAAGATAACACACACATTGTGATAAGAAATCACCCGAAAGTAAGACTTAAAAAGAGAATAATAAAAGATAACACTTCCACTTCAACTATGTGTTTAATTAGCATGTACAAAGAAATCTCTCAAAACATTCCGGAAATTGTGAAACGGCCATTTTTAAAATGACTGTATAACACATTCTGTCTTCGGCTGAAATCTATTTTACAGGTGTAAAATAAACGAGAAATATGATGAACATTTGTAACTGTAATTTTGTAACTGTTTAGGTAAGTAATTAATCTTTAAATAAAAGGGTACATACTCTGAATGTAAATTAATGAGAAAATATATGGCGAGGTTCTTTAAAGCGTTGGAGATGCAGAAATCTTGTAATTTTGACTTTTTTAACTCACCAACACAGATCGTCCAATTTGTTTCAAACCTCAAACCACTCACCTGAAACAAGAAGAAAAATTAAATTATAGTTTAAAAGTCATTAGGATGCATCATGTAAAAAAATAACAATTCACCAAGTACGTTCATGAGTACGATTTATTTCTAGGAGGAGACACTTGAAGAAGTACAACGTACAAAATAAATAATACAAAATAATCCTTGCAAACGTTTCCAATTATTGAATAATAAACCGTTAACCCACAGTTAGTAGTAAGAAATTTCGATTACATTGTGGTACTGATATTGATGTGAAGCAACCATGAGCTTTTATAATATTCAATTCTTCGCACCTTAGTAACCTCCCTACGCGACACAAAAAGAAGTTTCTCGTAATTTTAAGTTTAAGGGACAATCAAACGCAAAGACCCAAAGCCCACCCCATGTAATGATAACTTGCACCATTAACTGTGGGGACGCCACGGAGCCAGTCTGGCGGGGCGGAGCGGAACGGGCGGGGAGAGGGCTCGGGGGCCAGGGGCGGGAGCGGGGCGGGGCCAGAGGCGGGGCGGACGGAGCGGAGCGGAGCGGAGCGGGGCAGGTGCGGAGGCGGGGCGGGGCGGAGCGGAGCGGGGCGGAGGGGGGGGGGGAGGGCGGAGCGGAGCGGGGGGCGGTAGGGGAGGGGAGGGCGAAGGGAGAGGGGCGGTTGTCGGGCGGGCGCCCGCGGCGGCAGCGCAGCACCTGAGCGCGGGCGATGACCACGGACGGCAACGGCGGCGTCTAACGGCGAACACATGCAAATCGGCACCGCCCGGCCGCCGGCTACATTAAGGTCACAGAGGTGCACGCTACAACCACGGCGCATTGAAACACTGTGCACGAGCCCAGTCGATTCCAGAGCAACTCAAACATGCATCTGAGTTGGAATTCCTTGCGTTCTAGCAGTTAACGGCATGCCTAAAGATAAAAAAAAATTCTCATGGTATTTTTGAGTCATTTTAAAAATAGATGGACTGTGGTATTTTATTGTAGGGCAAATATGATAATAAGATACATATACAAATAATCAATCACAAATTGTCCATCTCATTGCTTTGGTTTACATTACGCTTCTTCTACATATTTGAGACATTAATTTACGCGCAAAATTATTGCACCGGTTTATTTAAACATATAATAAACACACAATTAAAATAAATACTTTGACAAACAAATATGTATAATAAGTAAGATGAATGCGTGTGGGCCGTTATTCGCCTCTCCGGTCAGCGCTCCTGCGGTCGGCGGCGCGCGGCGCGACAGAAGCGAATTTCCGGCTTCGAGGAGGGCGCGGCCACGGGCGCCGGTGACAGGTGGCCCTGCCGCCTCGCGATAGGAAGAACCCGTTCGGTGGGCGGCGCGGGCGCCGGGGTCGCGTCTAGTCGGTCACTGACTCCCCGCGAGTCGCGATTGGGCGGCTGGCGACCCGTTCAGCGGGGCCGGCGGCTTCTGTGTGCGTGGGAGGGTGGGAAAACCTAATAAACACAGGTGAATCTACTTGGATTTGGAAGTCAAAATTTAATAATTCAACAGTGTTAAACTAAATCGTTTTTTGATAACTACGTAATTTAACGACAAGTAAAGATAAATGTATAACTTTCAAAACAAACTGGTGTATTTTCTTGAAGTACATTTGTAAAATTGTTATTCTGAAGTTCACTTGTATCTATTTTCTAATTATTTGTTTCCTTATTGATACATTTCTATTACACCACTATTTAATGTCTGAATGAAAATCATTCAATGGTGCCAGTGACGTTTACTAACTAAAAAATGAAAATGAAGCTTCATAAGATATTTAAAAAAAAGGATAAATATAAACTATTTATTTATAAAATACTATGGAAATGCTGAAATGTTAGAGTGATATTAAAATAAATAAAGGGACAGTCACATATATGTTTTTACGTAATTAAATATTCTACCTAAATGAAACAATTGTAAACAACGCGATAAAAGGAAGCTATTAGTAGAAAGTAAACAGCTATTAAAACGCTTATAGTCAGAATTTGTGCAGGAGTGGGCGCATTCTTTTTGCGGATAAATTATCCATTACATTTTAAAGGATGAAATATAAGTTTTTCTACCCAAAATCATGTTCAGCTAATGGTATTCCCCTTCAACTATAAGTAGCTCCACAAATCAACATGACCTACATCGAATAAAGAATGCGAACCGGGACCCCAATTAAAACAAATGAATCTTCGAAAGAATTCTTGGTTCTCAAACTACATTCAGCAGCGACAGATGAAAACTACGAAATTCCCCCCTCCTCCCACTTGGAACCGGAGAACACCTCGGAGCCAGAGTTGGTGAGAAATGATAATTGGAACGTTTAACCCGCTCGAGCCGCCGACCGCCGCTTGAGTGACGCGGCATTAGCAGGGAAGTTTCGCAAGGGCCGGCGGGGAGAGTGGGCGGCGCTAGCACCACTTACCCGCGCACGTGTGGGAGTGGCACAGAAACACCGCGTTTCCCTCCCCCTCCCCCCGCGCAGCGGCGCCCCGGACGCCGAAACACGAGCAAAACGCGGCGATAAATCGTGTGGTTCTCGCGTTGCAGCAGATTTAAGACAGAACACAGGTGTTCGTGCGGGTCCCGCGCCGCCTGCTTAACATAATTGGCGTTTACACTGACGGGCGGTTTCAATAAATTTGGTCGCGCCAGATGGAGCGGTCGCGGCCTCGGACTTGAAAGGGAGCCTAATTCGCTGCCTCGAAGAAAGAACGATGGCGGCGGGTCAGCGAAAGTCGCCCGGCCGCCCACCGCCCGGCGGCCCGGCAGCCGAGAACAGCTTTCGGCGCGGGCTGATGCGAACCCTGCGGTCGCGGCGTGAATGATTTAACCCCGGCGCAACCAGATAACACTTCGATTATTCCCCTCGCTCAGTAACTCACGGACTTGTTTTCATTCATTCATTCAAATGCTGAGTGGAAGCAGCAGCGACGGAAGCGCAAGAACAAGTAAAGGCAGCAGGGTATGGGAAGAAAACGACCGCGGTCAATCTTGACCGTTCAAATGGAATGTTGGTATCTCGTTAGTAGAGCAATGCTTGTAGCAATGGTGGCAATATTGTGGTAGTAATATCATGCTTATGAGGGTCACGAGTTTATCAGAAAAATAAAGGACTCCCGCATGCACACTCGAAAAAAAGCAGTGACGGTATATTTGAGTGGGAGAGGTACGGATGAGGAAACGACGAAGGTGCAGGGGACGGCGAATGCTGAGAAAGAAGCACGGCCACTCGCCGCGGCGGCAGCTAGCAGGCAACGGCAGCCTGGAAATCCTCCACGCCTCGGCATACCGGGCGTACCTTTGCGAAAGTGCGGCACTGCCGACGGAAGCGGGTTTGCGCGATGCAGCGCAGTTTAATGGTCGATGCCGATCCCCCAACAAATTTGCGGCGGCGGAGGCGTGGCCGCTGGAGAACCTGTTCGATCGCGCAAGAGCGCGGCTCGTCCGGGCGGCGCTGCGAACGCAGGAAGATTAACAGGCGGATACTCCGCGGTATGCGACGAGGCCCCGGGGTAATGCGCGGGATACGAAGTGTTAATTGATTTCTTTCGTATGAATGAGTCAAGATGAACGAACGTTTATACTAGTAAAAGAAAACGCGAAGTAGCGATATATTTAAACTGTTATAATTTATGGTGATTCAAAAAATAAAATAGGGAAACTCTTTTAATAATAAGCATTTGTTACAACAGTTAGAGAAAGAGATAAGAAAAATGTTGTTTATATATCAAATATGCAATCTCGACATTTAGCTTGATGTTAAAATGAATTTAAAATGATTTTATTTGAATACGTCATTCACATTTCTGGGGTTCAACTTGGGATTCAGCCAATTTCGTGTCATTGAAGCTCATCTAATAAAGTAACATATATTCTTATAAATAAATACAAGTCCTAGAAACTTAGTTTCCTTTGCCGTATTTTATTTAATTCGTCTTATGCAAACAGGAATTTGTCACAGCACTGTCATTACCAACCTATCTTTGAATGATATGCACCATTTTACATTTTTTTCATTGAATTTTGTTCACTTTTTAAATTAATTCATGTACTTAAATCAAAATCCTCGGTAATCAATTTTATGATTACAATTCCATTTGAAACATTCAGTTAAAAGTTTGAATGATTAGACATTGCAATACCATTTTGTAAAATGTTTGCTACATCCAACTTGACCCCTAGTAGTATATATTTAAAATAGAATTTCAAACTGAAATCAATATGGAAAAGATCAGTCCCGCACTTCACAAATTATATTTTTCATAAGTTGCAACAAACAACACCTTTCCAAAATTTCAATTTGTTTAAAGTTGAAATTATCGAATTAGAATTCTTTTCAAATACCTTCTCTTAAAATTCACATAGTTGAACTTGGAAAGGTGAATTCCTTTGAGGTTGCAATATTTGTTTAGTACTTATAAGTTTATCGAAAGTTAAAATGTAAGTGTTTATCATACCATGTAGCAATAAATGATTAACGATTATCTTAAATTTTTCTCTAAAACTAAAATTTCGAATTTTCAAAATTAAATTTACCACATTAATTTTTTGCGTTTGTCACCTCTAGCATTCTTTCAAAACTGAACTCGCGAATACTATAATTTAAATAAAAATTATGAAAAACTTTTGAAACTAAAACTTCAGTCAATATATGATTTTCAATCAATATACGATTTTAATAAAAATTAATTGAAATTCATGAATTATCACATAGACAACGTACAAAAAGACATCGCAAGATTGTTCGCAAGTTAATACACAAGAAACTTCTTTGTAAATAATTCTAGCTTGTTAATAAACTCCTCCATATATTCTAAATAATTTCGTTTCACGCAACTCCTAGGTAATCATATCATCGGAGCACTCGTTAGCGCTAAGCACTTGACGCTAGAGGAGCGCGGTCGCGCCCCACTGTGTTGTCGTCGCGCGCCGTAGCCCGCCGCAGTCGCGACCGTTTAAAGCAAGCCGTCAACGTCCAGGGGACGTTAGGGGCAGTTCAAGTCAACTGG